AATTTTTTCCGTCTGTGTCAGCGTGCTGACGTTGCGTTTGCATGCAACAGAAACGTGCTCCCGGCTTGTTCGTGGCCTTGAGCATGAGGAGGCTGCTCCTCACTTTTTTTCCCTCGGTGCAAAACTTTTCGCCAGAACTCGTCACTGCGACGGTGAATGCGGCCTTTGGCGAATCGTTACTGATTTTTCACACCGGACCTTAACATGCACCAGTCTGCTGTTCTCGCGCTGGTTTGTCCCTCCCATGTGTCCGCATGCACATCATTTAGTTCTCGAAGGTCCCCGCGAAAGCACGCAGCAGCATCGTTGCACACGATCCACGTGAACGTACAGGTTCAACATTTTAGTCGGCATTGCTGGATTTTCATGTGGTTTGATAGGCCGACTCGCGGAGTTCTTCAAGGTGATTTCGACGGGCTTTGGTTTCAAAGTCATGCGTCACACTCGTCGCAAGCGTCGCGCCAAGTTATGTTGGTCGTGTGCAACACTGCACGGGTCACCAAAGCCACCGGGCGCTACCGTGCGAGTGTATTCACAAAAAAATTATCTCTCTCTCTCGCCCACCCGTGAATCACCTCTTTGGGTGTGCCGTGGCATGTGTTTCTGCATCATTGGAATGCCTGTGTTGTGAAATGAACTGCGCTTCCTTGTTGGCCGTTCCGAGGTTGTATCGCGCTCGTGGCAGACTGTTTGCGATGAACTCCGTTCGCGGAGCCGGGGGGATGGCTGTCAAAGCGCCAACTGCACATCGCTTGATGCAAAGCTATGGGACAAGCAGGACAAGCTTCGGGGTCGCATGTCCAATATCTCTGTGGATCATGAACAGGGGCCAAAATCCTCCGCTGAAAAGCAAAAAGCCTTTGTTTTGTCTACGCAGTTTTGGCAGTGTGGCAGGAACGAAACATGTTCCCACGGTTCAACCATGTTTCATTGTTGACACTTCATGCTCCGTGTTGGTGTTGGGTTTTGGCTGGCATGATATTGATGTTGGTTGCTCTGCATTGAACGAAATTGTTCGAATAAGTCCCGCGCGTGTTCGAACTGCAGTTGACTGCACGATGGTCAAGCCCCACAGCCACTTCACAGCATAATTGGGAGTTGAAAAGGATGACATCGGTGGGTCGCTTGATGCCCGCCACGAAATGTCCAGCTCTCCGGCAAAAGTTCACGAGCCCAGCAAACATCGAACATATGGGTCACGGAAGCATACTTCACGTTTTGCGTGTCGGCCGAAACCCAATGAAGTTGATTCTAGACGTGGCGCAAATCATCATGTGGATGTCCTGTTGACGAAAATCAAAAAATCTGCGGCCATTGGCCCAAACTTTAGATTCCTTTAGATCAATGAACATGAAACGGTTGTGGACCATGCGTGCTCGAGTCGCAGAATCACACTATGCATCAGACCTTGGTTCATACGAATAACAACACCCACAGCGACTGCTTTCTGCGATGATAGCACGCCATCTCCCAGGCCATGATTAATTTCGTCTAAAAGCTCTGAAAGTCTTTCATTGGCGACCACCGCACGGCCTGTGTTACCTCATGATACCTCATGGCGATCTTGCCACACGTGTGCGGGAGCATGCCCTTGTGCAGGTCTGTTTCGAATCTGGCGCTGCGGTCGCATGCCACGTGGGACTCGCACACATGAACCTCGACGAACCTGTTTCGGATGAGAGGTGCCTCGAGGTGGTCGCGAATGGCGTGGCCCTCTGTCACAGCTTCCAAGTTGCGCTGGCTGCTGCCATCGTTTCCCCCCTCACCCTCACCCTCACGGCTTGTTTGGGCGCTGCGGCGGAGGACGAGGCATGCCATGTTGCTGTGCTCCGCGAACGGAGCCCGGCTTGTACAGAATGGGCGGTCCACTGCATCGCTGCTGCGCATGCATGGGCCAGGGCCTTTGCGCCTGTGCATCACTTCGTGGGAGCTTGTGATGCAAGGCGCCCGCCCGCCCGACCGACCTGAAAGGATCGCAAAGCCCGATGGGTGGCAAACGGACACGGAACTTTTTCTTCCGTGCCCGCCTGCTGCAGCCTTCTCCGCACCGCATCATCCTGCGCTCCCAGGCCTGTTCGCATGCCGCTGCGTGGATCCAAGTCCAAGCCATCCCCAGCGATCCCTGACCAATTGTGCTGCGTAGGCGTTCCATCGCCAACCCAACTCGCAACCGAGCACACGCAATGCTTGCGCGCCGCTAGCAGCGTGTTCAAGGTACCTGGCGTGCTTGCGCCTGGAAGCCGTGCACAAAATGGTTTCATCTTCTGCGGCCGGTTGGGGAGAGGCTCACCATGACGCGGTAAGGGCGAGAGGAGGGTGTCATGGCAGCAGCAGTCATCGGAGCAGACGTTGGGTGCTCTTGTGTGCGCCAGCCGCTGTAGGCGGACCACCTGCCCATCCAGACCGACGGCCTCCCGAGCCACGTGCGCCCACTCCACTATCTTATACTATCTTCGCCTTGCGAGCTATCCGACCCATGCGAGTGCAGGCGAGGGCGTGGTCGCCAAAAGCTTCAGTTGTTTTCCGCATCCAGGCGGGCTACAACGGCTGGAACACAAGGGCAGCGGGAGGCGCAGGTGGCTGCGCAGGCCAAAAACATTGCTTGGGGCGGAAGCACGCAGACCGGCTCACAGGGTATTGCAGTCAACTAGGCACTGGCCTGTGGGCCAGCCTGCGACTGGAGCGGAGCGCAAGCGGAAGCGGACAGGGAAAGCCTCACTTTCCGTTCGCGGAAGTACAAGGTTCGAATACGCGATGCGCTGCCATCCATCCCGCTCCGACTGCTTCCAAAGGATGGCACTCGTGCCAACTCTCTGCCTGAAAGGAGTTCGCATGCCTCAACTGTGCTCCTGAGGCGTGGCGCTCGCCCACCGTTTGTCGCGAACAAGCGCGTGCAGGCATCACTTTATCGTATACTATAGTAGAATGATTGCACCCGCGGGTTGCTTGGGTGCAGATCGCAGTTGCCACAACACAAACTTTGCCGCGAGATTACTTCCGGTCGCGCTTGTCGTGGGCCGCCACCAGGCCGTTCGAAAATGTTCGAAATGACTTCCATTCGTCTCTCGTCCGAGGCGGACAGGGACTAGAGATCACGCAAAGGGACATGCATCGCGGCAATTGCGCTCGCCTCCCGGCATACTCTGGTAGCCGCTCGCTCGAGTGGACTCCCACGCGAGCGACCGTGCGTGGGCAAGCTGCAAGGTGATCTCCGAAGGAATCATATGGTTGGTGACACCGGAAGCTTGCTGCAGTGAGCAGGAGTGGCAGGCGTAGCCGATGCAGCACGAGAGCTGGGAACAGCCGTGGGTTCAGGCGAGGTGGGCCGTTGGGTTAGGATGCGGGCGGCGAACGGTCCTGCCTGTGAGTCAGACGGGGCGGCGGAAGAGGCATCCAGTTCTCGCACAAGGCTCGCTAGCAGAAACTGTCGACGGCCTGTGACGCCCAGCCACAAACTCACGAACGGCAGGAGCGCCGACGCCTCGGGAACATTTGCCAGGGCAGGCAACACCGTCTCTCGACTAATGCCATCATATGGGGATCTGCAGCTGATCTGCTGCACAACGAGTTTGCGCCGCATGGATCAGAGCCTCGGCCCCGACGCGGCTTTCGAGTGCGTACTGTCGCCGACGTCAAGGCCTCGCGTGCCACCGCTGGGTTTGCACAGCGCGACGACACTCCCGAGTCAAAGGGCTGGCGCAACGTCGTCAGGGACCGGGGCACACGCAAGTTGGGAGGCGACATCGGAAAATGCCTGGAGCCTCGGCATCATCGAGGACAACACGGAGAATTTCCATCGGCTGCGGCGCCGCATGACAGGTCCAGCGACTCCGCCATTGTTAACGAGGGCCTCCACGCAGCCGCGACCGCCTCGACGCAGGGCTCGCATGCGAGAGTTCGCTGCGGGCTTGTCCGGGGCAGCGGTGGAACACTATCGCTTGCTGCTGGAGGACGAGGAGGCGCTGGACCTGCTAGCGCACACGGCCTCTCCTTTGGCGAATGCTGACGAGCCCGCCGCCGTGCTGCAAGCCTATGACACGATCTCCCGGGCCGCCTTCCTGACGAAGCTGCGTGAGGCTGCTCCAGCCCTCGTCCCGTATGTGCGGGCGTGGTGGGATGCCGAGGGCCGGTGCCACGGTGACGGCTGCGAGCAGGGGGATGCTTTAGCGCCGGCTCTGTACTCTCTGGCGCTACACGATGCCCTAGATGCGGCACAAGGGCGATTGGAACCGGGGGAGTTCCTCGCCGCTTTTTTGGGCGATCTGTATCTCGTAGCCACTCCAACTCGCGCCTGGTCTGCGCTAGATGATGTCACCCGCACAGTCGAGCGGCATGCGGGTGTCGCAGCGAATCTCGGTAAGACTCGGGTGTATCGCGCAAGCGGCGGGCCACCACCGCCCGATGTCGAAGCGCTCGCACCCGACGGCTGGCGCGGAGGTGACAGTGAGCCGGCGACTTGCAGCTTCGTTGCGCTGGGTGTGCCGATGGGGCATACGGAATTCATGCGACGCATTCTCGCGGCGAGACTCGAGGACGAGCGCCGCCTGCTGCAGGATATGCAGGAGCGTGGCTGCTCCTGCGCTACTGTGCCAGCCCGCGTGCCCAAAATGCTTTGTGCAGCGGCCTCGGTCTAGCCAAACGCGGAGCGACTAGCCCCCGCGGCGCACTGGGCGGGTGGGCGGCCGCGCTCCCGGTAATGCTGCAAAGACGTCGTCCGGAGGCCGCTCGTCGCTATGTGTAAGAGCTCGCTCGCCTTGCCTGCGGGCAGCTGCGGCAGCGGGTGGGTGACAGGTTGCTCGCCGAAGGGTGGAGTTGCGCGCCCGGAGTGGGATGACTTGCTCCACGGGGCGCGGCCGCCGCCTGCGCACACTGAGCCCTCAAAGCCTGGAAGTTGGCCTCATGGCTGGCAGAAGCCGGCAGCTCGCGTACCCAACAAGTCATATCGCGAGCGCCTCCTCAGCAGCTTGTCGCCGAGTCCCCGAGCCCTGCTGCGCTCCCAGGGGGGCGCGCATGCCGGCGAGTGGTTGCGAGCCATTCTTACGGGCGTCGCGGACCACCGCGCCGGGCGTAGGCCCAGATGACCGGCGCCGACTCGACCTCGTCATGTATGGCGCGTCTCGGCGCGGCGCGGCACTCTGCTGCGATGTGACCTTGGTTTCGCAGAGGGGGTAGGGCAGGGCAGGGGGCAGGGCAGACGGACGCCCGCAACCGGCCTCGTCAGATCGGGATGGGGCTGCCATCAACGTCGCGAGTCGGCGCAAGCAACGGCGCTACCCTGAACTGGCCGGCCCGGGCCCGCAACGCCTCGTCGTCCTGGCTGCGGAGGTCGGCGGGCGATGGGGGCAAGAGGCGCACAACCTCGTCCGCAGCCTCGTGCAACAGCGCTCCCTGCGCGCGCCGCGGGCGCTGCGTGCTGCGGCCCGCGCGGGGTGGGAGCACCGGTGGTGGGGGCAGCTCGGATGCGCGTTGCCGCGCGCCTTGGCCTCGACGCTGTTGGGCGGCCGCTGGCGAGCGCCGGTGCAGCTTACTGGAGACGAGCAAACACCGTTCGGGTGGGTTCAGGAGCTCGCCGAGGCGGAGCAACCTTCCTGTTGCCCGTGCGTGCCTGATGCGCATGAGCTAGGGATAGGTCGGCACGGACGCGTGAAACTTCGGGCTGCCGGAAAAGGAAAATTTCCCAAGCCGCCGCGTGGCTCACGGCC